TATTAATATATAAATGGCAAGGCAAGGGTCATGCACCATAAATGATGAAAGAAACATGATTTACAATACAATATTAATGTAACCAATACCATCATAACATCATATAAGAATAATATTCTATGGAATGAATGATAAAAATATCAAATATTCTAAAATGATTTATAGTACGGTGGTGCTCATAATTATGCATATAAAAAGAAAAATAAAGTACTCAATCCATTTAGAATCTAACACAGTCACATGTGATCACCACATTTTGAATATTCTCATGCATATATATATATATATATGCCAAGAGCAAATGCTATACCAAAAATTCTATAAGTTGTGTGATTAAGGATTATTTAATATTAATATAATTTGCATGAATAAAATTTATTTCACTTCAACTAAGACGATGTGGTTGACAAACAAGTCAAAGCTATACAACAACAACAACAAGCCCTTATCCCACTGTGGTGTCGGCTGCATAAATCCTTTTTCTCCATTATGTCTTGTTAAGGGTCAAATTCTCATCTAAATCTAATAAAGAAATGATATTTCTACTATTTTCTAACCAAGTCTTTTTAGGTTTATCTTTACCATTCTTAACATAAGCCACAAATCTAATGCATCTACTTTCCTAACCGGGTCATTAGAAGGCTGTCATTTTATGTAACCAAACCATCTAATGCGACTCTCGCTAATCTTATCTTACACAGGAGCTACTCCAACCTTTTCATGTATATGTTCATTTCATATCCTATCTGTAAGAGTAAAGTCGCTCATCCACCTAAGCATCCTTATCTTTGCAACACTCAACTTATATTATGCTTCTCTTTTAATGGCCAACATTCTGCATCATAAAGCATTACAGGTCTCACTACCATCTTATAGAATTTTCCCTTAAGTTTGAGAGGGACATTTCTATCACAAAACAAGCCTGATGAATTCCTCCACTTCAACCATCCAACTTGAATTCTACTAATAATATTGTGGGCTTCGAAAATTCGGCCTCGGCCTCCGCTCGCTTTTTTTTTAATCGGCGAAGGAGTTTTAACTGAATAAGTTCCGAGGTAAATTTTGGAAGGCAGATGTGTTTGTAGATAAGACACTACCCAGAGATTTCGCCCTCATTTTGTGAGGACTTTATGATCTGAGTTCTGATTTCTTATAGGCGCAAGCCCCTATAGTTAATTACCCCTCCCGGTCACGAGAGAGAACATTCGATTAAGGCTAGTCGTCAATCAGATACGTAAAGAACACATGTTATCTGGCATATAGTATCAGCATAGGTATGGATTTGAAAATATTTGGAAGTTTGGAAATTTGGACATATTTGATATTTAAAATAGAAATTTCACCACCTTGCACTTAAAGCGGATGGTGGGGGAATGGATGATAGACCCGATCAAGATCCCATGGTTCAGTCGTCCCGGGCCATCGTGGTCCCTGGTCTACTTAGTCAGAGGAGGTAGTCGACCCAACCTGACAGAAGGATCCTTGTCGGCAGCCATGGGTTGTTTCGTCCAAGGGAACCTTGTAGACCAGGGTTGAATGTTTGTCTAAGGGGACAAATTTGAATCCACCTCAGCTAACAGAGGGTTTTGTGCCCTATCAATTATATTCTGTTGATTCATATCTCAAGGATTTGATGCCAATAAGGAACGTATTAGCTCTGGCCATAACCGGTAATTTGTGGTGCCATTTGGCGGCAAAACCACTCGGTTCAGAGGGCCCCGGGTCATAACCGTTTATCCTGCGGTGCCATTTGGTGGCAAACTACTGGTCAGAGGACACGTACCACATCCTTAGTAGCAGGAGATTGTTTGAGAATGGATCCTAGTGATATTTTCGACTAGGCATATAATTCTTTGCGAGCTGAAGTAAATTTTAATTTGTCTACCTCAGCAAACTATTGTGGAGGGTGGATGGATTTTGCTTTAAGTGTTGATGGATTGAATTTCATTTTTAAATATCTAAATTTTGGGATTTTGTGGATTTCAAACTTTGTGGGGTTTTGGATTTTTGGGTTTTTATGGGTATTTAGGTGGAGCTTTGAATTGTTTGAAATGGATTTTGGATATTTGGGAGACATTTAAAAATATTTAGGAACCCCTCCGGTTGAGATCTGCATTCAACACGGCCATCATCGGGGTGTTTGGGGGCATTTTTATTTGTAGCTTAAACCTTGTCGACTCTGTCTGGCTGTCGACAGAGGATCGGATTTCGTAGGCTTTATACCCTTGATAGTGAATTCGCATTGTCATAAGCCTTGAAGGCCTAATATGAATGTATTAAGACAAATATGACGGTCGCCACAACCGTATATTTGTTTGAAAGTTCAAACCCTGTCGACTCCTATAGATCCGTATAGAAGGATCGGATTCGAACTTAAATTAACTTATCGACCCACGTAGCATCTCTAAACGTCACGTGTGTATTAATAACACGCTCGTCGGAGCCCATACGGGTGTTTGGGGGCATTTTATAATTATACCTTGTGTACTCCTTTTTATCTGCTTAGAAGGATTGTGTTCAAACTTAAAACCCATGCAGCATCCCTAGACGTCACGTGTATACCAATAACACGCTCGCCGAGGCCCATACGGGTTTTGATTATAATTACCCCTTTGTGTACCTATATGTATACAAACTACGGTGCACGTGCAAGGATATTTAGCAATATCTCAGTCATGCAAGCAATTGCCATTTGAATGTGTACAACATTCCATTAGAGAGTTTTAAAACGCCTTATGTCCACTTATATGAGTGTTGTGGATCCGGTGGCATGGAGTAGCAGCTTCTGGATCAGTTGTTTGCTACTTTATACAGGTAGACTATCATTCATTATTTGTTGATTTTTGTAGGCGAATCATAGTGCACTAACTAATCTCCTGCCTTTTACAGAAGCTCGTATGAACTTGCATTTACTGCATTCTGCTATGATTTTGTTCTTTACAATACATCCACTACTGCTGGAGGAAGATGTATTCATCCTTAGACTGAAGTTGACTACATGATACTGCATTTACTGTAGTCTTTATGCATCTACCCATCAGTGGCATATGGCACATACATCTGTCTTCGTAGAGAGCTTGTATGTATTGCAGATCTTTATCCTTGCTTGTAGAATGTTGATACATTTGATTGATGTTAGGTGATTATCGACTGTATGAAATATTTAGCACCCACTATACATTAATCATCATCACCCATAAATGAACTACTATATGAGTGGAAACTCTTCTATATTTGGTTGTGTTTGAAATGCTGAGCGTATAACAAGTCTTTTATGACAATCCATAGGGATTTGTAGTTATTTGTACTTGGTATACACCCTCTGCTTCTGGTGGTAGAAGATCAGTGTATTTGTCACTGCTTCATTACAAAATGGATAAGTATCTCAGTGCTTGTCGTAGGCTCCTTGTATCATTCTTGTAGATGGCATATCATGTGCATGGAGGAGCTCCTACCGCTACTAGTAGGAACTTGCATTTGTTTTGTACTATCTTTCTTTGCTTGCATAAGACCAGTGTGCTTGCTAGATAATTAGTGGTGATTGATTGCAAGATGTTGTTGCATTCATTCTTGGTCTTCCATATGTGTGTTGATTAGTTACCGCATTCTATTATATGCATTTCAACATATGCGGGGATCATTGCAAGTGCTAAGAGCCTATCGTATGCAACATTGCATGTGCACCATACTTACAACTTTGTTACCATCAATGCTTGAATGTGGGTTATAGTGAGCATTACAAATCATTCAGCATCTTTGAAAATGGTTTGTAGTTCGCATGGTGAGTTTGTATCACTGTTTTGCAAACAATTTGCATGCATGACTTTGCTTTTATTACAAGTCCTAGTGCACTTAGCTCAAACCCCAGTTCAAGTTCTCTTGCACATGTCTCAAGTTTGGTTCCTTTAGTTTTATTCATTAATCATATCCAACCTCAAGTTCAATTTCAAATTCCACTTGATGTTGCTCAACTCAAATTCAATGTTCACAAGTTCTTGCTTTGAGTTCAAGTTTAAATCATGTCAAAGTTCTCATTTTGCTCGAGTCCAAATCAAGTCCACATGTCCGTTGTCAACTTGTCCAAGTCCTTGTTCAAATTTAAGTTCAAATGCAGTTCAGTTTGAGTCCAACTCAAGTCTTCTGTTGTTTTTGTAAAGTTCAAGTTCTTTTGTCCAAGTTTGATTTGAGTTTGAATTAAGCTTTTCATTAATGTCTTTTTGAGTTCAAATGAGTCCAGGTACAATCTCGTTTTCACCCGAAATTTCGGCAGCCTCCCGGTGACTCCCCCATTTTGGGGAAAACTATGAGAAAACTGGGCCTTTCCCA